CTGTCTCAAAAAAAAAAAAAAGATGAAAGAAAAGAAAGGAAAGTTGTGACTATAAATTCTTTTGCTGGAGTTCTTGGGAAAATAAAATAGAATGGTATACATCCTGACTCAGGATAGCAGGGATAGCTAAATGAATTACATGATACTCCAAATACGGAAACACATGCACTACGTTGATTACATTGTTTTCGTTAATTTGATATAATGGACGCCTTTTTAATTAGTGAATAACATAATAATTATCATGGATCAGTTTTCTTTTGACTTTCATGGTATTTCCTGAAATAATTGGCTGTAATTCCTTTAGAGAAGGACTTAGTAACAGACTCAGAGAAAGTTATTTTTCAACCTCTAATAAAGAATATCAAGCATTGGATACAGAATTATAAATGTTGGTGATGCTTGTTTAAATCACAATGCTTGCTATATTTCTATTTATCAGAAACCCAAACCATTCTGGTCCCCTTTGTATATTTTGGAGATAAAGGAGTGAAAAACATGAACACACCAGAATTGAGACTATATTAAAATCAGAACATTGAATATTATCATTTCTCTCTCAGCCAAAGAAAATGGTTATTCGAAGCCATCCAGCCTTATAAACAAATGGCGCTAATGTGCTAGGGTTTAATGGAGAAGGGACATCATTAAATGGTTTGTTATGACCTAAATGAATGTCAAGGAAAGCTCCGACTTCTTTCGAGGCTCAGTGATTTCTCATCCAATTTCTTTATTTTTACCTTGGCAGAATGACAGCTTGGTACATTATTTTCCCTCTCGTCAACTTTATCTCTTGATAGGCAAAGGAATTTATTTTTAAACAAAGGTCAAACAAATGACAAGCTTTGGATGTCTGATCAGGCAGAAAATATATGTAGATAAATAGATGAGTTTCATGACAATTGTTAGGCAAAATATTTGGGGAAGCTGAAAATGGTAAATGCTGACAGACTGTGCTGTCCTAAAGCCCAAGTATGCAAATAGGTCCAACATCCGAAGTTGTTTTTCCACTAACGAGCACGCCTTCTTTAGTAAGGCTGTCTGTGTCAGCACAGGGCATCTTATTACTTCTTGATTCTGGGCAAAGCCTGGCTTTCCAAGGCTCCAAGAATCACACATCATTTCTGGGGAAACTGAGGCTGGAGGAAGCCTCAGGGTGACTCAATCATGCATGATATCCTTGTCTCCTGAGGAAAGAATTGTGCGGTTCATTTTTTTTTCATCTACATAGCAACTTGGGAACAAATGGGTGTCCACAATCAGCTGCTCCTCTTAAAATACATAATGGAAAATATCAGCAAACTTGCTTATCAGTCCCTAAAACCCAAACAAGCCAAGTCACCAACTGCACACTGGAAGACCACTGCTGACTTTGCTTTTTTTTTTGGCTTGCTGTTGACAATTTTGACATATTTTCAGCTTTCTGAGGAATACTGGGTATTGCATCATTCTCTTCACCAGCACACAATATTGCTTTTTCTTCTATCCGCATCATTTTAAATGGCACTGTCAATATATGTTTGTGATCTATTTATCATTTTTAAAGCTTAGGGGAAGTGGAAGTTTTAAAATATATTAAAATCTATTTTCACTGTTTAAAAATATTTTATATTTAAAATTAAGTTTTATAAAATACAGAGAAATATCTCCCCAAATTACTATCTAGGGAGAAGTATATGGTGATGGTAGACAATATGCATTACAAAGTAAATTGAAATTTAAATATATTATGCAATTAGTTTTATTGAATAAATACACTATGATTTAGTTAATTCTTCTCTGTTGTCGTACGTTTAGCCTGTTTTATCTTTCTTTCTGCTTCTCTCCCTCTCTCTCTTTTTTTTTTCTCTCTCTCTCTTTTGTGAAAGGGTGGGAACAAGGTCTCATTCTGTCTCTCAGGTTAGAGTGCAGGGGTGCGATCATAGCTCATTACATCCTCAAACTTCTAGACTCAAGTGATTCTCCCGTCTCAACCTCTGGAGTAGCTGGGACCAAGGGCATTTACCACCACACCCAGCTAATTTTTTATAGAGACAGAGTCTTGTTATCTTGCCCAGTCTAATTAGGAGCTCCTGGACACAAGCAATTCTCTCACTTCAGTCTCCCAAAGTACTGGGATTACTTTTTCTCTTCCTAAGTCTTGCTATAATAAATGAAAAACAAGTATATTTGCACATGAATATTCTAAATGTTGCCCAGTGATTTTCTCTTTTTTCTGCTTTTTATTATTATTTTTTTTTCTTGAACTTTAGGTTCTGGGGTACATGTGCAGATCATGCAGGATTGTTGCATACGTACATACATGGCAAGGTGGTTTGCTGCCTCCATCCTCCGTCACCTATATCTGGCATTTCTCCCCATGTTATCTCTCCGCAACCTCCCCACTCCCCCCTGCCCCTCCCCTAGACCTCCCAACAGACCCCAGTGTGTGATGCTCCCTCCCTGTGTCCATGTGTTCTCATAGTTCAACACCTGCCTATGAGTGAGAAGATGTGGTGTTTGATTTTTTGTTCTTGTGTCTGTTTGCTGAGAATGATGGTTTCCAGATTCATCCATGTTCCTACAAAGGACATGAACTCATAGTTTTTAGGGCTGCATAGTATTCCATGGTGTATATATGCCACATTTTCCTTGTCCAGTCTATCATCGATGGGCATTTGGATTGGTTCCAGGTCTTTGCTATTGTAAACAATGCTGCAATGAACATATGAGTGCATGTGTCTTTATAATAGAATGATTTATAATCCTTTAGGTATATACTCAGTAATGGGATTGCTGGGTCAAATGGAATTTCTATTTCTAGATCTTTGAGGAATTGCCACACTGTCTTCCACAATGGCTAAACTAATTTACACTCCCACCAACAGTGTGTAAGTGTTCCTGTTCCTCCACACCCCCTCCAGCATCTGTTGTCTCCAGATTTTTTAATGATTGCCATTCTAACTGGTGTGAGATGGTATCTCAATGTGGTTTTGATTGGCATTTCTCTAATGACCAGTGATGGAGAGCATTTTTTCATATGTTTGTTGGCCTGATTCATATATGTCTTCTTTTGAAAAGTGTCTCTTCATATTCTTCACCCGATTTTGAATGGGTTTGTTTGTTTTTTTCTTGTAAATCTGTTTTAGTTTTTGTAGATTCTGGATATTAGCCCTTTGTCAGATGGGTAGATTGCAATTTATTTTTCCCATTCTGCTCGTTGCCAGTTCACTCTAATGATTGTTTCTTTTGCTGTACGGAAGCTCTGGAGTTTGACTAGATCCCATCTAAATTTCCAAGAGTACTTTTACTGGAAAAATGCATATTTAATTTTTTATTGTATGTCTCATTCAAGTATTTTGTTTTCTAGAATTCTTCCATTTATTAAGACCTGACTTGCTATTATAATTTACTTTAATTGTATCTGCATGATGGGAGAAAACTCTTCTTTTGAAAACATTTTTGATATGAAATATGTTTGAAACATACATTACTATCTAGTGGCTAGAACAATATTTGACATGTTAACAAACAACCTTATAGATACTCCACATAGCTCTGAAATGTCTAAATACTTTGAAATGGTTTTGTAATCATCTTTTTCATTAATTTCTTAATTTTAAAATTGTTTTATCCCCATTTTTGAGATAGCTTTTGTCAGGTTAAAGGAATTTTTTAGTTTGCTAGAAGTTTCTATTTTTATCGTGAATTATCATTAACATTTGTTGAATGCTTTATTAAATTATGACTTTTGTCATTTATTCTGTGGATGTGACAGTATATATATATATACATATATATATATGTATATATATATATGTGTATATATATATATACACACACATATATATATTATTTTTTTTCTTCTTACAGAGGTTTTATTGCATTTGGTCCACAGTTGAGTTTCACATCATCTCACGAAGCAGGGTCCCTGGATGGGGGTCTCTGCAGTGCTTGGCGGGGTGTGTTACCTGGGGAGATGGAGCAGTATAGCTTGTCAGGACCAGAAGGGGAGAAGGAGGGCTGGAGCTCCTTGAAACCTACTGAGGGGCTGGCCGCAGTGGCTCATGCCTGTAATCCTAGCATTTGGGGAGGCCGAGTCAGGCGGATGACCTGAGGCTAGGAGTTCGAGATCAGTCTGACCACCATGGTGAAACCTTGACTCTACTAAAAATACAAAAATTAGCCAGCGTGGTGGAGCACCTGCAGTCCCAGCTACTTGAGAGGCTGAGGTAGGGGAATCCCTTGAGCCCAGGAGGTGGAGATGCCGTGAGTGAAGATAGCCCCACTGCACTCCAGCCTGGGCAACAGCAGCAACTGAAAAAACCCCACTGAGGCTACGGGGAGGGCAGGGTAGCACGGAGACGGGGTCAGGCTCAGCCCCAACAACTCAGAATTCTGCTTCCTTGTACAGGCCTCACTTTCCCCACCAGGCCCCGGGGCAGGTCTGAGGGTCTGAGATCTATTGGTCGGAGGGTCCTAGGGAAATGGAGCCACTTGGAGCCTGAGACATTTAGCATCGTGGCCAGGCCCCCTTTCCAGGGGACTCGTTTCCCAGCACCATCTCCAGTGTCCCCGCCCCATTCCTCAGGAAATAAAAGGTATATGTCTTTTGTTAATACTTCCTGAAACTTTTTTGGGTACAGAAACCACAAACTGATCGGGTGACAAAAGTGAGAAGAGGCGAGGCAATCGGAAACCTTCAGGGATCAGTTCCCTCCAAGCCCAGGCGTCTTCTCCCAAGCACAGCTCTGCCCACAGCCTGGATGTGCCAGCAGGGACCCTGACCCTACAGGTATCAGGATAAGGCCTTGACCCCTTCCACCCCCCAGCCCGGTGGCTCAGTCCTGCGGAGAACCAAGTCAAGGGGGAAAAAGTCCTGCCGCCTGATTCTACGAGCCACTCACAGACCCTCGGCTGATTGGCAGCACTGAACAGGTTAAGAAAAAAAGGTTGAAAACACAGAAAAACCCAAAAACCCAGACGGGGAGACGACGTGGGGAGAGAGGGTGCTGTGAGCCTCAGTAGCCGGCCTCCTTCTGGTAGTAAGGGGATATTCAGGGACCCGGCAGTTGCCAACATTGGAGGGAACCCCATCGGCCACTGTGCCTTGTGGGCAGTACTTGGGGTCATATATCTGCCGGCCCAGGCCAAAGACTTGGCCGCCCTGGTTGGCACCCTGTGTGTAGCCCATCTGCAGGAACGTGGAGGAGTTATCACACTTGTCGGTTCCCAGTTTGATGTCATAGATGTGCTGCCGCATCCCGGGAGCTGTCATGCCCACCTGGCTGGCACACTTGTTGGTGCCCATCTGGAGGCTGATGGTCGAGTGGTCCATGAGGGATAGGATGTGGTTTTTGGGGTCATAGAGATGCCTCCTTGTGCCATACACTATCATGCCCGACTTGCTGGCACATTTGTTGTGTCCATCTGCATCCCGATGGCACACCGGCCGGCCTTCATGGTGGCGTTGTTGAAGTTCCACTCCTGCTTCTCCGAGTACTTGACGCCGATGCCCACCCCGCTCTGCAGCCCCTTAGTCTTGGCCTTCCCCACTAGGGTGAGAAGAGACACCTGCACCTGCGTCGTGTTCCCACTCTCAAACAGGTCCCTGGCCTTGAACAAGTCCAAGGGGTTCATGCCGTAGCTGACCATGGCCTTGATGAAGTTGGAGAGGTTTTCTAGCTGGTGCCAGTTCTGCATGGAGCGGTTGATCTTGGGGTCTGAGCCTGGCTGTAGCTTGTTCATGAGTGTGCATAAGATAATCCCGTCCTTCAGGCCCTTCTGGAAGTCGGGGCCGATGGAGAGGCCGGTGAGTCCCTCGATCCAGCTGCGGAGCTCTGCCTCCTTCTGGGAGTCATACTTGGACAGGAGCCGGTTCTTGACCTTGGCCAACAGCCTGTACAAGGGGCCCTTGTTGAACTGCGTGGAGCTCATGGCTGGCGGGCACTGTGGTGGGACGGGGCCATATGGGACGGGACTCATATATATTTTTTAATGACCAGCATTCTTGGGTTTCTAAGATAAACCCAAATTGATTGTGATGGATTTTTTTTAACCTAGCTGAATTGACTTTTCTATTTTCATTTAGGATATTTACAATCATGTTCAAAGTATGTTGTTATAGGTTTCTTATAAGACCCTGGTTTCGCTTTATGTATTTTATTAAAAAATATTTTCAGTGCAGGTTTTAATGTTTTCATAAACATAGGTGAGGAAATTTAACACTTGGGACCCTGATGGGAAACAGATGGTGTACTTAAAAGGTAATGGGATGGGGTTGATTTAGAGGAATGTTTATCAGGATGTGAGGGACCCAGGTTCGAGCATCATCAAGACATTGATGTTTTGTTGCTTCAGCCTGAAGCAACATAATGAGGAAGAATTAACCAGAGCCTACTAATGATGGAGCAGAATTTCATGGGTTGATGTCCTCACAACCAGGACCTCAGAATGTGGCTGTATTTGGAGATAAGGTCTTTAAAGAGGCATTTAAAGTAAAACGGGGTCAATAGGGTAGGCTTTGATCCAATAGGACTGATGCCGTTATACGAAGAAGAGAAGAGGACACCAACACAGACAAAGGGACAACCCTGGGAGGACACAGGGAGAAGATTGCATGTCTGGAGAGAGGCTTCAGGAGTTTCTTCTTATATGGACACCAGTCGTATTAGATTAGGGCACCACCCTAATCCAGTGTAACCTCTGTTTAACGTAACTAATTTCCTCTGCAACTGACCTATTTCCAAATCAGGTCACATTCTAAATTACCAGGTCTTAGGACTTCAACATCTCAGCAAAGAGAAGATGTCTCCTTCTCCTTTTTGGGTTGAAGGAGACACAATCTGAGATGTGGAACTGGGACTGAGGAAGTAGAGAGCATAGATTTCTATGGGAAAGATCTAAATGTTGCCTTCTGTCTCTATCTTACCTCCAGATGTCCAGAAATGAGTGTTGAGGTCACACCTAGAGCCAAATGGGACTCAGGAAGGGTCTCAGCTGGACAGCCCTGTGCCCTGGGAAAACTTATAAAAGGAAGAAAAAGAAGTAAATAAATGAACACATTGCACTCTCCACCTCGTCCCTCTCCAATAAATGTGAAAAAATAGACAACCCCCACAAATTCTTGCTTTTTAAGCTATTTAGTTATAGCTTAGAGCTAGCAATATGGGCCATGTTGAATAGGAGAAGAAAACTGTTTTTGTGTTCTTGATAAAGTCAGCAGAGTTGTACATGCTATGTGTTCACTTTTGCTCAGGCAGATGGGGAACTTTCCAGTACTTTCCAGAACCTTCCAGAAGAGTATGCTAAAGACAGTAGTGTGTGTCTGACTTCATTGATCATTTATCTCAGAATAAGTCCCGTGAAAGCAAATTAAATGTATAAAGCGCACACCCTGGTTTTCTTTGGATTCTAAAATATTGACTTCATTTGTATTGTATAGTTAAAACATAGTGTTTACAGTCATAACAGGATTATGTTTTAAAAAGGGAATATGAACCTTAGAATATTTAATGTAAAGTGTTATAGATTGTGTTATGTTTTTATTAATGACTTTTCTTATTTAAAAATAATTTCCAAAGAAAGAGTCATAGTCTTCTCAGAAGGGATATTGGTAATATATTTGTAATTATCTTACCATACTAATTACCTTGAAATCAGTGAGGCAGTTCCTCTTCATTTTATAGTATATTTAAACATTCTAGATCATTATACATTTTATGAAATTTTACATCCCATGCTGAAAATTTTTAATACTAACTTTTATACAATACTTTAGAATTTTTATTACTTTGTCTCTCATGCTCATTTGATTGTCACAGTAAACCTACTAAATATTGAGATCCTTTACTTCTCATTCGTCTTTAAGAAGCAAGAAAGTTGGGCCATGTTTATTTTCAAGGGTAAACAGTCACTAAAACAACTAGCTTTGTCTCTTTAACTCCAAAAGGGTGTACATTGTACTGCTGTGATTTTTCCTCTAATATTGCGATCTGTGTTTTTCAGAAGATGTACATCTACATCCCATTTTGAGAGTGAGAGATATCACCGTCACTCCATCATTGGCAGTTTCTTTGTGTTGTCCAAGGTCAAATCCTCAACAGATATTTCTGAGCAGAAAAAGCTACATGAAATTCTGGAACACATTCCAGAGGTCAGAGTTCAACTTTTGCTTTGGACTCTGGCTTGCAGACTGGGAAAGGGGATGAGTGTGGACTTTTCTAAGGGGCCTCATGTAGGAAGCTGAAGGTGGTGGAGAGTTCAGGAGGATAAAACCCTGCAAGGAAACATGGCATCTCAATGGGATGAATGCATAGAATGAGGTAGTGTCCTGGTTCTTTAGTAGGCAGATGGGCATCTGGCTCAGGCATCCAGACGGAATTATTGATCCAGGGTGCAGAGGTGGCATGTTTGTAAATTTAGCTGGAAGAGGCTCAAAGCAAAATGGAAACAGCCAGACATTGTCCCCATAAGTAAGAAATAGCAGAATGTGGATGCATCTATGGTGATTGCTATAGAATTAGTGCAAGAAGTTTTTTGCATACCATGTATAAGAAAATGTGACAGTGTGTGTGTGTGTGTGTGTTTGTGTGTATGTGTGTATATGTGTGTGTTTGGATGAAATTCTGATTTCAACATGCATTCTCTGAAATAAACCTCAGCATCCTTCTTGGTTGAGTGATTGGGAATAAAATAGAAAAGTATTAGTGAGCATCAGTGAATGTAGGGAAATTGAGTGAGGGTGAGGCTGAAGGGTGTGAAAAGTAAGGGAAGCTTTTCAAGATTTATCAACAGAGTATATCAATGCCTGATTTTTGCATTTAAAGTGAAGACCTGCTTATGAATATGTAGTGTTGTTCCTCTGCCTGAAGCATTCTTACTTTTCCTTTCATTTTGGGCTAACGTGTAATACCTATACATGTTTATGGGACACATGGTGATTTTTCCATACCTGTGTACGAGGTGTAATGATCATTTCAGGGCAATTAGCACATTCATCACCTTAAACATTTATTATATTTTTGTATTGAGAACATTCACAATCCTCTCTTCTAGCTTTTTGAAAATATATGAAAAATTGTTGTTAACCATACCATCTTCAGTGTTTTAGAGCACTAGAATTTATTCCTCTTATCTAGCTATTATTTTGTATCCATTAACCAACCTGTCTCTACTTTCCTTCCTTTTCCCCTTCCCAGCCTCTACTAACCGAAATTCTCCCTACTTCTATGACATGATTGAAATTATTAGTGTATGTATACAAGTTATTATAAAGAATACTCATGTTTTCTTCAGTTTCAAAGTCTTTTCTCATTTCTTTATATTTGTAGGAACTGTTATTGTAATCATAGAATATGATATCACAAGTACTATGGGGTAAATTGCATGCCCTCAAAATGCATACATTGAAGTCCTAGCAAGTCCTAATCCCCAAAACTTCAGAATGTGACTGTATTTGAAGAAGGGGTCTTTGAAGAGGTCATTAAGGTAAAATGAGGTCAGTAGTAGGCCTTGATCCAATAGAGAGGTGTCCTTATAAGAAGAGGAGATTAAGATACAGACATACACAGAGGGATGACCCTGCGAGGATACAAGGAGAAGACAGCATCTATAAGCCAAGAAAAGAGGACTAGGGAGGAACCAGTCCTGCCCACACCTTGACCTCAGACTTCCAGACTGCAGAACCATGAGAAAAGAAAATCCTATTATTTAAGCCTCCTAGTCTCTGGCATTTTGTTTTTGGCAGTCTTGGGACACTAATACAAGACATTTCATAATACACTGAGGAGAACATAAACTGTATTTTAACTATTCATTCTAATTTTAAAAGAACTTATCTATCGATGCAACCATTAACTATATTCACCAATATATACAATTTCTGTCATAAATGATCTTAAGTATTAAATTAATTCAAAATATATTCCACTACTAGCCTTATTCATTTAATAAAAATGAATGTTAAGAGAAAAACAAGACATTTTTTGTAAATCATATTACAAATGAATTTTTTCTGTGTGTGTTTTTAACAGCTCAGTGTCCAGGAAAGACTCCAGCTCCATTTCTGAGTCTAATTGCAACTGTGGTGAGCCGTGAACTTTCTATTTGGCTGAAGTTGAACTTTCTGAACCCAACTAGTCTACTTAAAATGTCACATTTTCCGTAGATTTGCTGTGATCTTGGGCTGATCTCAGTGTTAAAGTCTGCCCTTGGATATAGGGAATCCTCATTCTAGCAAGTTACTAATGAAAACAAAGAACTAGTATCACTACTGAAATATTATTCTGTCAGTTTCAGGATTTTAATTGTCCTCCTAAAAGGTTAGGATAGCTTAAAAAAAAACTCAAATGACATTCTTTCTATACAGTGGCCATTGGATCATCAGTGTCAAAATTCATCTAAGATGATAAGACCTGCTTTTGAGGGCATATATAAGGCAAAGTAAAACATCATGTGAAATGTTTTAGATCCAAGATTGGCACCCAATATAAATATATACTATATACTGGATATTACATATCCAATATTATATATATATATTGGTATATATTATGCATACTAGTACAGTATACTTATATATACATAGTATACACAGTTTATATGTGTATTGTGTTTATATATGTATAGTAGATATTATCATATATGGTATACTTTACATACTATATATAAAATATAATATATATTGTATATAATGTGTGTGTACATACACACCCTTCCCCCCACACACATGCACACACACATGTACACATCACAGTAAGTCCCCATTTAACTTTGCTGATACATTCCTGGAAACTGTGACTTTAAGGGAAACATTGTACTCTATTGAAAAAACAAATTTGGCAGGGTGCCGTGGCTCACGCCTGTAATTCCAGCACTTTGGGAGGCTGAGGCAGGTGGATCACTTGACGTCAGGAGCTCGAGACCAGCCTGGCCAACAGGGTGAAACCCCGTATCTACTAAAAATATGAAAATT